GTCTTGCTGGATTACATTTATGAAAAATAGGCTGGTCCTAATTTCACGAAGTAATTCCTACAAGTGTGTGCCAACCCTGTGAAGACTTACAGAAAACGTTTGACCTCTGTCATTGCCAACAAAGGATATACAACAAAGTATTGAGATGAACTTTTGTTATTGACCAAATACTTATTTTCCACCATTATTTGCAAAAAAAATTCTTTAAAAGTCAGACAAAATGATTTTCTCAAAAATTTTTTCGCATTTTGTCTCTCATAGTTGAGGTCTACCTATGATGTCAATTACAGGCCTCTCTCATCTTTTTAAGTGGGAGAACTTGCACAATTGGTGACTGACTAAATACTTATTTTCCCCACTGTATGTCTCTACGTCACACAGTGGAGTCTCTCTGATTGGTTGATGCTGCGCGTCGAGCTGCAAAAGTTCAGATTTTCTAACTTCAGAGATTTGCGCCTCAGCGCGTCGAACGCTCAGATCGTTCAAATCGTGCTGCTCTAATCGCGCTCGCAGCACTTCCCGACGCTGATTGAAGCGCGTCCACCATAGACTTTGCATGTAAACCTGATGCTCCAGATGCTGAAATCACGTTCGGTGTGAACGCACCATCACAGCTCTGTCTGCAGTTCTTACTTCTTCAGTCTGACACCCTGTCAGCAGTCCCTACCTGTATTGTTTAGTCCTGATATGTTTCTGCAGACAAACCTTAATAAAACAAATATTTCATAATTTTCCCTCTGGGTTTTAAATGCTTCAGGATCCTTTTTTGTATTTTAAACTTCCTATAATGTTTGTTTCTCCACCATTCTTTATGCTTTATTAAGTTAACAAATGCAAAAAAAAGTTTGTGAAACCTGTTTAAAACCACTTTAAACTGGACGTGAATCTTTTCTGTTGTTTTTAGACAACATTTTATAAATTCTGAGTACAAGATGCTGTAAAACATCTGATCAGGACTGAACGCTCTGCTGCTTTATTTGAATCGACTTGTTCAGACTAAAATCTGTCAAACAGATCACATTAAAAAACAAACTCAAACAGAATCGTAGGAACAAAATCCTCAGAGGAACTGAAGTTTCTCATATTTGATTTTGTTTATTTGAACGTCTGTTGCGTAAAACAAACAATTCTTTAAGCTCTTAATCTTTAACAAGGCTGTGGTGACCAGTGTTTGATTATAGGAAGTTTTTATATTTGATCAGGCTCTATTCAAACATCCTGGATGTCCTGGTGTCTTTTGTTCTGTTTATTTGTTTGGATTTGCTCTGTTGGATTCCTGTGTTCTGTCATTTAATCCACCGTTGACGGCGTGAATCAGGAGTTTGTGTTTTATTTGTCACGGACTGGATCACTGCAGGTGTTTCTGCTCTTCTGGGTGTTGAGTTTATTTTACAGCTTCCTTTCACCGAGCTGAAGCCGCCGTGTCGGCGGCGCCGACGTGTTTGGGCCTGAAGACAGAAAGTGGAAAAGAGACGCTGGGAGACAAAAAAGTGTGTGTGTGTGTGTGTGTGTGTGGGGTGGGTGAACAGGTGAGACGGAACGACCTGTCGGCTGTTTTATCTCTCAGGGCTGAGGGTGATGGTCTGACCTCCTGTGTGTGTGTGTGTGTGTGTGTGTGTGTGTGTGTGTGTGTGTG